AGTGCTGTAAAGTAACAAGACAGAAGGACAGAGACTTATACGTTTGGAAACCAGAAATCTTTGACGGGAGAAACGGACTGGAGGTGCAGGGAGCTGCAGAGAGAGGATGAGGGTGACGAGATCTGTAGGACTGATGGGGGGGAGAATAGGGGTCCATCAGCATTCAGGACTGGGCAAACAGGGGCGGTGGTAGGGTGGGGACCAGGGGTGGGGACCATGGTCAGCTACATTTCGGTCATTGCTGACGCGATGTTGGGAGTGGTCACCTCCTGGGCGCCATCATAGGGCACTGGCTGGGAGGGCTTCCCAGTAACACAATTATTATAATACACAAACAATCTTAAACCTTTGTGATCAATTTCTTCCTCAACCTATCCCTTTTGCTGAATAGCTCTTGCTACTCGGTACCAGGCTTCTGCTGTACGAACCAAATCGTGGTCCGACAGCTTCCCTTTCTTCTCTGTCAGTAACTTATGCCAGCTCTCTGGCTGCAATCTGCCGCACGGAGGTACGGTAATTCCACATACTTTAGCAATCTTCCTCACTTTCTTAACCATCTCTTCTCCTTCTCTGTCTTCCACTAGATCACATGCTAACCAACCCTTACTGGGTTTATCTAACTTCTGTCCCATCCTCCCTATATAAGGCGTCCCAGATATAGAGAAAGAGAGAAAAGAAGGTCTACAGTGCTCGACTGCTACGTAAGAGTGGGTTCCTACGTACGTCTTCCCAAAACGTAGACTAGTCACTAATTCCGCCTACCCGAGGTAGCCGCGGAATTGGAGCATGGCGAGAAGTGTGTGACCAATCACTTCTCTCAACAAAGAGAAATAAGAGGGGAAAGTGTAAATAACACAGAGAGTAAGATAAGATCAAGCACAGGAATCTGTGTGACAGACAATTAAGACAACATTTCAAATAAAATACAGTGCATGCATCACAGTTCAAATGCCTTTCCTTTACTCGTGTGGCCTTAGCCACCTCCCTCAACCTCGTAGTGTCCCTGTTGCGGACCCACCCGCAAGTCTCACTACCGCACGGTGATGGAAACAGCAATGCCTGCCCGAATCCAATCCCACCACAACCTAACAGTGTCCGTATCCGCGGGCACTGAGAGGTTAACAGAACACTACCAGCGTCAGCGCTCGAGGCTGAAGTGTCTCACCCTCTGCAAGCAGAGTAACGTGCACAATGAGGCTAGCCAGGCCCTCAAAGTGACACCCCAGACCTGAGAAAGTAGTGAGTCCACACAGGCTTCCACCAGGTCCCCTCCCCTTTTTCCTTTACCGCTAGAGCCACCTAGCATCTAAAAGGGGTAAACAGGCACTCACACTCCCCGGGGACTAAGCTAAACACAAACCAATACAAACACCCAGGCAACAGATAGTCAACATGCAGGTAAACTAGGTATCATTAACAATATAAAGACTCTGGGCAAGTTATTACCTGACTTTGATGTCCTCTCGGCAGCAGTCACAGACACTGGGACAGGTCAATCACAGGGGTAGGAACATACCGGCTAGGTGCTGCAGCAGTCTCCACCGTGTACTCAGAGGTGATCAGGCTCTTTTCCTTCCCCCAGGATTCACCCCCCCGCATCTTCTTGGACCGCTGCCCAGGCAGGACATAACCCAGAGCCCCACGTTGGAAGCGCCAAATTGTAGTAGATTATTTTCTGCAAACCAATTAGTTTGAATGACTATCTGTTCCTGTCCAAATTAAAGATAATAAAGTTGCGTGCACGCAGAAGTAAATTCACACTGAGACACAGAGTTCAGGTTAATGAAAGAACTTCGGAGAAGTTTAATGGCTTCTAACAGAAAATGGGTGCGCAGACCCTTATAAAGGCATTTTTACATCACTGAAGAATTCAAGATAACAGCAAATAAACACTATTGATTGGTCCAGGTGTTAAGTGGTTAGTTAGATGCCATCCCATGAAGAGGTGATGTCATCCTTGACACGGGAGTGGACACAAGATGTAGGCGCCATCTTGTTAGCACGAGGTGTTCACTCGATGGGAGGGGTGCTTTGGCAGCCATTTTGAGTAGTTAGTATTGTTAGCTTCACGGTTCTTTTAGTAAATACACATTTTATTATTCAGCACATTTCTTCCTGCCAAAGTATTAGCTTAGATAATTTCAAGAATTCTATAATTCTACAACAGCTCGATCCCTCTACCTCACAGCAACCAGCATCCTGGGGGGTGGAGGCAACCGGCCTCACCCTCCAGCAGCAGTCGGAGATACTGGGAGAGGGGACACCTGGTGCCTCAACTCAACCACAGGGGAAAAGCAACCCTAACCCCACTGGCGCAGATGGGACCACGTTCTCTGTGCCAGTCCTACCGGGAATCTGGACTGCCGGTCCAGATCCCCAACCATCCCCACAGGGATACTGGGAGGAGGTAAGCGAGCATCCCAGCTAATTCTCAACCGAGTCCTGGGGGCTGTGGATGAGTCTGCGATACACACTGACCCCCTTCCAGCAGAAGAGCTGGCATCCGGGCAGAGCGCTGCTGGCCTCTGTCCACTAGTTCCCCTCAGCAACCTGGGACATACAGGCCAGAGCCAGACACCAGGAATCACCAGGTGCAGTAATGGTGTATTGTGGGTGGGCTACTCTGTTAACTGTTTGTTGTGGGTGGGCTACTCGACTAACTCAGGTACTGACCGACAGAAGGTCAGGTACCTGGTTAGTCTCCCCCCCAATGGGAAGATGTGTGATGAAGTGCCCTTCGCCACTTGTGCCTGGAGAGGACTAATTGCCAGCCTCCTGCCCTGCGACTATGGCCCCTGGAAGATTTCGCCCTTTAAATACGTTATTTGGGCATATTGGATTTTATTAGACTGGTTCTGGCCCTTTAAATGCTCTGACAAAGAATCTGGAGTTTTGCTATGCACTTCGGCTGCAGAGTGTGAAGAAAACCCCTCTTTTATGGACTTAGTTTGACTGTTTTATTCCCCTCCCCTCTTAGAACACCAGTTTAAACCCTTAATAACTGTCATTTTGTTTTCCTCTGAGGAGGAGTTGCTTTGCTGCATGAGTGCTGTTGCTTTTGTGTGCTGATTAAACAGACCTGCTTAAACCTTTCTTGAAGCCTTGGCTCATGCTTGGGGGATGGAATAAGTCTGCAGTGTTAATGGTGTCGGTTGGAGTGCTTGGAGTCCTCGGCAAGCACTAGGAGCATCGATTGGCGGAGGTACTCGGTCGGAGTGCCAGCAGGTCCGTCACAACCACCATTTAGTAAACAAAATGGCACTGTTTTTCTTAATTAAAAATATAATCAATCATTCCATGAGGAATGTAAAATAGACATTTTCAGAAGTCCTACAAGACCGGGCAAATCAAGAAACAATGAACCACATCTGCTCATGTGCATGTTGTTTTTTGAGAGAAATAAAGGCTTGCAGTGCTGCAAATCAGAAGATGATTTTTTTTGTTTGTAAAGTGTGAATTGCCTGGATTTCATTGTTTAAGTCTACACTTAGCTGATTTTGAGACTTTTTGACTTTTGACTTTGAATTCTGGAAACCTTAGTGAATAACCCTTTAATTCATTCAAATGTGATATTATCGCCTTTCTTCTCAAAAAGGCATCTGTTGGGCATGCCCTTCCTTCTAATGCCCGGCCTCTCTCTTCCACAGTTATCTGAGCTTCATTCTATTCTTCCAATAAACCAATATGACTTCCATTTCTGATGAAACTGTTCTTCTTACAGTTCTAACATCTCTCACTTATGTACACCATTCTTGGCCTCTTTGCTGAATTTGATACTGCTCGCCATCCTATTTTTCCATACCAGCTAACCTTGATATAACTGAATATGACCTTATGTGGCAATGTTTTGTGGACCCAGAACATACTTGAAAACGAGCGAAATCTCAATGTATCTTTCCTGGTAAAATATTTTATAAATAAATAATAAATAATTTGACCCTCCATTTATTTCTCATGTCTTAAACTGTGTCTTTCAAAAACACACACCCTTCTTCCTCCTAAGTCCTTCTATCACTTTGTTTTCTCTGTCTGACCTTATCTTTGTCTAATGACTGGCATGTGTATCACCATATGGTACTGCCATCCTACTGTTTCTCTAGAGCAGCTTTTCCCAATTGGTGTTGAGAAACGCTTCATTTCGCCACATCCACAGAATTTCACCACGTCCAAGATGGCCGCCGCTACCTGCTGTTCCTGGAAGGTCGGAAACAGCATAGATCGCGCTCTTAAGCACGCCTGGCTGTCAACCCGCCTTGCCGTCAGAACCTGCCCTAGTGCCCGCTCTGCCACCTGCCCTGCCAACCGCCCTGCCATCAGCCAGCCATTTAGACTTAGCTTGTCCATGAGAGAGCCCGCTCAGCCATCAGCCAGCCAGCCCAGCAGTCAGCCATTTTCTATCACTCGTGGTACAGAGAGTGGAGCTGATAGTTAAAGCTATGTTAGGTAGGGAAATAGAAAGCTTTGGTAGGGACATTAAAATTCTCTTTTAGGGACATTGAAAGGCTCTGTCAGGGGCAGTGAAAGACTTTTTGAGGGGTATTGAAAGACTCTGTCAGGGGCATTGACATTCTCTGCTAGGGACATTAAAAGGCTCTGTCAGGGACATTAAAAGGCTCTGTCAGGGGCATTGAAAGACTCTTTCAGGGGTATTGAAAGACTCTTAGAGGGGCATTGACATTCTCTGCTGGGGCATTAAAAGGCTCTGTCAGGGGCATTGAAAGACTCTGTCAGGGGCAATTGAAATTCTCTGCTAGGGACATTAAAGGGCACTGTAAGGGACATTAAAAGGCTACAGTGGACTGAAAGGAAATGGTAGGGTAGTTAGCATCTCATTGTTTACTAGCTCAGCATCCCATTGTTTACCACCTGATGCAAACTTCCATTTAAGATAGTTAATCGTTAACACTGTGTATTATTATAGTTTTTTGTGTATAAAACTCTCCAATGCCACTTCAACCTTTTCTGATGATGGTCCATCAACGTCGTTCAGCAGCACCAGTATGATGGCGTTAACACCGACCCAACCACAGAGTACGTCCAATGCACCCCGGCACACTGGTAAGACATGATGTTCAGAGTGAAAGTTGTAATTGTGCATTTTCCTAACTTTTAATTCACATCAAACTGTGAACTCACTCAAAATACTTCTGTGTAGTTTATGTTTGCATAATTAAATCCATAATCAAAATTGTACATAGTCTGTATATACTGCTATTTAAATTTCATTGTGTTTTGAGCTTCTCTTGTACGTATATTGTGTTTATTGAGTTTATGTTAATTTGTGTTTATACTGTTCTTTTGTGTTACATCTGTTCTTTATTTACATTATGTTAGCTAATATATATCCACCTATTTTTTTGTACCAATTGCTAAAAAAAAAAGACTATTCTGGTCTTTTGTATATTCCAGGTGAAATGAGACGGTCGCAGCTGGATTTGCGCACAGTCATGGAGGATATGCGGGCAGCAGAGGAAAGGCAGCAGGAAGGGATGGAGAACCTTTCTGAGCAGTGGTTTCAGGCACTGCGTCAGGATGCCCAGGAAGCTATGTGCCAGGAGGCAGAAATCGCCCGGCAGCAGATGGAGCAGTTGACTACCTTGGGCAGCTTGTTCAGGTGCTGGGAGGCAGTTGTGATCCCAGGCCATCGCTCAGGCAGTAGTACCTTTCAGCCAGCACAGGACCTGTACACTTTTTTTTTTTTGTAAAAATATTTTGTTTGGTTTTTCTTAAAACGGTTTATTTGTAAATATATTTTTTTAATTTTTACTTGTTAGTATATTTTGAAAGAATACTTTTTTGTGGAATAAAAAACAGGAGAGACTTTGGGTGTGTATGATTAAATGTAAAACTTTAATAAAACTTTAATAAAATCAGGGTAAGAAATTAAATGTTGAGGTGCCGCAACAGAGCCTGACATATTTCACTGCACTCTTCTTCGCTATCCTGTGCAATTACCCGTACGGGCTCTTCTGCAGGCGTATTCCAATCCTGGTGGAAGTCTTCTCCATGACTTTCACAAAGATTATGAAGAGCACAGCAAGTAAGCACCATGGATTTGACAAGTTCAATGTCACCGTCATTCCCCTTCATAAGACAACGCCACCTACCCTTAAGTCTTCCGAATGCATTTTCAACTACGACCCGTGGCCTGGATGTTTTCTTGTTGTAGGTTTGTTGTTCCGGTGTCAGGTGGCCATTGTCAGGAAATGGTTTCAGGAGCCAATTTTGTAAAGGGTAGGCAGAGTTCCCGAGTACATAATAGCCAACATTCACCCCCCGCCCCCAATGTTCTTAGTGCAAACAGGGTACACGCCTCCCTTGCCAACCCAATCCCAAAATGTGGACAATCGTAGAACCCGAGCATCATGCAAACTCCCAGGCTTTCCTACATTCACAATCCACGATAGTCCTTTTCCATCCACTACTCCTTGGAGGATGATGGAATGCCAGCTTATTCTGTTGAAGCAGTTAGTGTGGTATTCTTGTGGTGCTAATTTTGGTATGTGTGACCCCTCAAGAGCACCAACACACTGTGGAAGGCCCCACCTGTTCTCAAAGTAGTCAGCCATGTCTTTAAGCTTTTCCTGGTCCAGAAAATGAATAATTTCAGGAGCTAGCAATGTGCAGACTGCATTACAGAAGTCCGGCACACTGATGATTTACTGACACCAAAAAGATGACCTATACTTCTGTATTCACTGTTAGTAGCCAGCTTCCACAGTGCAATGGCAAATGGCAAACTGGCTCTGAAGTTGGTGCTTTGCTTCTCCATCGCTGGACGTTGCCTTGCACAAAGGTATGAAAAAAGTTTCCTCCGACATTCGGAAATTGTGCACCCACTGTGTGTGTGTGAATCCAGGGACGGTCTCATTCCACCACTCATTGGTGCGGAGTAGAGCCCAAATGACTGGTCGGCGGCACTGCTTTGACAAAAGGAGAAGCATCTAAAAAAGAACAAAACATAGATGGTACCATATCACAAATAATACAACATAATAATACAACATAATATACTTTACACAGACAGATAGCATCATGTATAAAAGCGAGCAACATAAATAACATAAGGAGTATTTATGTATAAGGTTTAATATTTGAATTTTACATAAGTGTACAACATGTATGTTGTTAAATACATAATGTATATCCTTCCCATCTTATATTAGATTTTTTACATATTCTGTATTATTTTTATTTTTTAATACGTGTAGAACTACATGCTAAATGGCATAAAGTTGCTTACCCTATGGCGCTGCCGTCTTTGTCTTTGCCGCACAAAGGTGTACTTCTCCTCCCGGCTCAAGACTCAAGCCATAAGTTTTCTTCTCTTTTCTGCTGTGTTTCTCTTCGCCGCTCGCAACCTTCTCTCATACACTGCAGGATGTATTTTAATTACAATGAACCTAAAGCCAAGTAGAGGAAAGACGAGCTGCTGGATGACCTCCATTGTTGTTCTTTGTTGCGTCACGTTTGTTGTCGCACTAGTGTGACGCCACGCTAGGCATTTGGTGTAAAGCCCCCAGGCAATCCAACTTGCAATGAAAACGCTCGCCTGAATAGGCCAGACCATTCAAATCCTTCCAAACTGTACCTACCCGAACCATTCTGCTCAGTGGAAACGAGACATAAGAGCGTTATCAAAATCAGCATCCTTTTCAGTAAGGTTGTGAGATCTGTATTTTTCAAAGTGTTTTTTTGTTTGTTTGTTTTTTACCAATAAACAACCATGAATTTGGAAATCTGGTTAAAGCAGGGAAGTCTAATTACTACTTCTACCTGTTCAGCACTTATAGAAACTGAGAAAGAAGATACAACAAAAAATACAGAAAACATGCCCAAAATAGTTGTATCTACTGTTCCTCAAATAGCAGAGACAAGTGACAAGTCAAAAAAAAAAAAGAGAAAAGCACACAGTGCTAGCCAATCTTCTTCTCAAACAAAGAAAAGAAAATATGATGATAGCTACGAACTTGTCATTTGAAATCACAAGTGCCAGAAATGAAGATTGTCCTGAAGCACAATGCGTACTTTGCAATAAAATATTGCCAAACAGTTCATTAGCACTTTTAAGCGAAAGCTAAAGGAGTTTCAGAAGAGTAAACAATTTATGAGCAAAAAATTTCAAAATGCTAATGAAAAACCCACAGAGGCTAACTAATTTCTCAACTGCATCAATGTGATGGGTACTCACTGCAATTAGACGAGTGCACAGATGTTGCAGGACTTTAAATTTTGTTGGTTTTTGTTAAATATAATTTTGACAAACACTGGTAGCTAAAACTATATCAATCTCACTTAAAACTGTGCTAGACGAATCGGTCCTAACTTTATTAAAAAGTCGACCATTACAGTCACAACTATTTATGTGTGAAGATATAGGTAGTCACTAGAGTTGAGCGAACCCGGACTGTAAAGTTCGGGTTCATACCTAACATTACGTTTTTTGGACCCCGGACCCGAACATGGACATATCACTGTTCGGGTTGGAGTTCGGCGATTTAATGGCGCGTTTTCAAAGGCTGCAGGGCAGCCAATCAACAAGCGTTTGACTTGTGTGCCCTTAGAAGCCATCACAGCCATGCCTACTAATGGCATGGCTGTGATTGGTCAGTGCAGCATGTGACCCACCCTTATATATAAGCTGGAGTCGCGTAGCGCCGCACGCACATGAGGTCTTATTAGTGTAGAGAGAGGATGCTGCCGCTGTGAGGGACAGCTTAGGAAAGTGCACTTCATATCTGAGAGTCAAATAGAAGCGTCAAATACCGCGGTTACATCGAAGTTTTAAAAAGTAATTATTTTTTGGTGCTAAATAGTACATTAGTGGAGTGCACTTTATATCTGAGAGTCAAATAGAATCGTCAAATACTGCTGTCACATGGCAGTTTTAAAACTTAAAATTTTTGGGGTGCTAAACTGCTAAATAAACTGCCCACCGCACCCAGGGACTGAGCACACCAAAGCCAGCTCCAAGGAGTTCCCTGGCGTGGCATTTCTTCAGACAATGTGCTGACGACAAGACACGAGTGGTTTGCACGCTGTGTAATCAGAGCCTTAAGCGAGGCATAAACGTGCTAAACCTGAGCACAACCTGCATGACCAGGCATCTACATGGAAAGCACGAGCTGCAGTGGAGTAAGCACCTCAAAAACCAAGAAAGGTCTCAGGCTCCTCCTGCTTCCTCTTCTGCTGCTGTCTCGGCCTCTTCCTCCACCTCTGGAGTCACAGTGGCACCTGCCACCCTGCAAACAGAGGATGTGGCAGCAATGCCACCACGTCCGCCACTGTCCCCAACCATTTCCACCCTGTCCCATGGAAGTTTTCAGCTGTCCATCTCACAAACACTGGAGAGAAAGAGGAAGTACCCCCTTAGCCATCTGCGATCCCTGGCCCTGAATGCCAGCATTTCAAAATTCATGGCCTTTGAAATGCTGTCATTCCATCTGGTGGAGACGGACAGTTTTAAAAACCTGATGGCGGTGGCTGTCCCACAGTACGTGGTTCCCAGCCGCCACTACATTTCCAGGCGAGCCATCCCTTCCCTGCAAAACCAATTGGCGGACAAAATCAGGTGTGCACTGCGCAACTCCATCTGTGGCAAGGTTCACATAACCACAGATACGTGGACCAGTAAGCATGGGCAGGGACGCTATATCTCCCTAACTGTACACTGGGCAAATGTAGTGGCGGCTGGGCCTGAGGCAGATAGCAGTTTGGCGCATGTCCTTCCGCCACCGAGGATTGCAGGGCATTTCTCTTTGCCTCCTGTTGCCTCCTCCTCCTCCTCTGCTTCCACCTCCTCTACCACCACCTCATCCAGGCAGCGTAACACCTTCACCACCAACTTCAGCACTGACAGGGGTAAACGACAGCAGGCTATTTTAAAACTCATATGTTTGGGGGGAAAATCCCACACCGCGCAGGAGCTGTGGACGGGCATGGAACAACAGACCGATGAGTGGTTGTTGCCACTGAGCCTCAAGCCCGGCCTGGTGGTGTGCGACAATGGACGAAATCTCGTAGCAGCTCTGGGCCTAGCCAGTTTGCTGCACATCTCTTGCCTGGCGCATGTGCTGAATTTGGTGGTGCAGAAATTCCTGAAAAACTACCCAGATATATCAGAGCTGCTGCAGAAAGTGCGGGCTGTCTGTGCGCGCTTTCGGCGTTCTCACCCTGCTGCTGCTCGCCTGTCTGTGCTGCAGCGTAACTTCGGCCTTCCCGCTCACTGCCTTATATGCGACGTGCCCACAAGGTGGAACTCTACCTTGCACATGCTGGAGAGACTGTGCGAGCAGCAGCAGGCAATAGTGGAGTTTCAGATGCAGCACACACAGGTCAGTCACTCTGCAGAACAGCACCACTTCACCACCAATGAGTGGGCCTCCATGCGAGACCTGTGTGCCATTTTGCACTGTTTCGAGTACTCCCCCAACATGGCCAGTGCCGATGATGCCGTTCTCAGCCTTACTATCCCGCTTCTATGTCTCCTTGAAAAAACGCTTTGGGCTATGATGGAAGAGGATGAGGCACAGGAGGAAGAGGAGGAGGAAGAGCGGTCATTACTACGGTTATCAGGCCAGTCATTCACAAGTGGCTTGGAGGGTGGGTTCCTGCACCAGCATAGGCCAGGTACACAATTGTCCAGCCAGGGCACAGTTCTGGAGGATGAGGAGGAGGATGATGAGGATGAGGAGGAGGAACCGTGTTCACAGCATGGTGGCACCCAACGCAGCTCATGGGCATCAATGGAGCGTGGCTGGGGGGATACGGAGGACACAGACGATACACCTCCCACAGAGGACAGCTTGTCCTTGCCTCTGGGCAGCCTGGCACACATGAGCGACTACATGCTGCAGTGCCTGCGCAACGACTGCCAAGTTGCCCACATTCTAACTTGTGCTGATTACTGTGTGGCCACCCTGCTGGATCCCCATTACAAGGACAACGTGCCGTCCTTAATTCCCTTACTGGAGCGTGATTGGAAGATGCGCGACTAAAAGCGCACGCTGGTAGACGCGCTGCTGAGGGCATTCCCAACTGACACCGGGGGCTCAGTGGAAGCACAAGGCGAGGGCAGAGAAGGAGGAAGAGGTCGCCAACGCAGCTGGGGCACCGCCAGCACCTCAAAGGGCAGGGTTAGCATGGCCGAAAGGTGGAAAAGCTTTGTCAGCACGCCACAACAACCAGCACCACCATCTGATATGGAACGTCTTAGCAGGAGGAAGCATTTC